TTAAACATATGTCTGCTTGGGTGGCAGTTATGGTTTCTTTAAGGTAAATTCCCAGCAGTGGAAGTGCTGTGTCAAAATGGTATTTCTATTTGCAACTTTTTTATAAAGTGCCACACAGCCTTCCACAGTGTTTGCACCATTTTACACTCCCACCAACACTGAATAAGAATTCCAGTTTCTCCACAACCTCTCCAGCATTTGAAGTCTGCTGTTCAGTTAAATTTTGCTATTCTTACGGGGGTGGGATGCTATCTCATAGCTGTTTTGCCCAAACGTCTTTAAGAAGCCATTTCATCTCTTCAAGTCCCTAAACACTGGTGAATCAATATAACATATTTATTACTATTTTTTAAAAAGATGTTTTAAGTTCAAAACATCATTTCTATATTGCTTCCTGGTCCTTTCTGCTTTAAAAAAGCATGCTTAGGTAGGAATAAAATGTTTCAGGTTGATTTAAGTATACCAAAAAAATTTTATGAAAAATACTGGAATAAAAACCAACACATTTATTGAGTATACAATTGTAAATGCTTTTTGAAAACGAAATATTTGAAACTTTCATTCTATTGAAAATACGGATTCCTTAGTCTTTATACTTATTCTGGCATGACCCCATAATACATTTCTACATGAAGGTTTTTGTTGTGTTTGTTGTGTATCATTGAGTCAGAATCAACCTCTAGCTGACCCTCCAGTGGGTTTTCAGAGGCAGTAAATCACATGGGAGGAGACTTCCCATCTTTCTCCCGCAGAGCAGCTGGCGGACTTGAACTGTCTACCTGTGCACTGGCAGAACAATTCCTTACCATTGATTCACCAAAGCTAAATAAAAATCAGAAACTAATAGAAAGCTACAGTTCTGCTTAGAATATTTACTACAGCTAATTAAATCTCCATAATCAACACTCTTGGCACCAGTAGTCAGGAAATTAAAAAATGAATTACACTGGGAAAATCTGCTGTCAGGGACCTCTCCAAGAGTACTGAGAAGAAATTGTGTCAGTCTAGAGACGAAGGTGTGCTTAACCCAGGCCACGGTTTTCACAATTACTTTCTATGCATCAGAGAACTAGATAGTGACTAAGGATGACAGAGAGGATTCAATGCCTTTGAATTGTAGTCCTAGAGAAGAGTCTTGAACATACCATGGATAGCCAAGAAAACAAATAGAACTGTCTGTCTTGGAGAGAGTGAAACCAAGTTTCTCCCTGAACACTAGGATTTTGAAGCTCTATCACATATACTGTGAACACATGGCCAGGAGGGACTCGTCCTTGGAGAAGGACATCATGCTGGAATGGGTAAAGGGATGGCACAGGAAAGGAAGATCCCAGATGAAATGGATTGACATAGTAAGTGGGGCAATAAGGGCAAGTGTGTAGGAGTCAGTGAGACTAGCTCAGGACAGGGCAGGCTTCAGAACTGTTGTACATATAGGGTCAGTATGAGTTGCAGGTGACTTAGTACACATAACAATAACAATTACATCTCATACCAATCCATGAATAACCCTATATATTGAAGAACTGCTCTATAAAATTTTATTGACTATAAACTTTTGTGGAAGCAAATTTCTAAGTCTTTATTCCACAGTTATTGAGTGGGTGCAAACTGCCAACTTTTAGGTGAGTGTTTAATAGGAGAGCTCTGGTGGCCTAGTGGATAGGGAGTTGTACTGTCAACTCAAAGATGGAAGATTTGAGTCTACTAGCTCCTCCTTTGGAGAAAGTTGGGCAATCTCCTTCCATGTGTCTTATAGCCTCTGAAAACCTGCTGCAGGGCTGGCTATGGTTGTGGTACTAGGCATATTATAGCTAAGGTTACATGGATCTTGGATGAAAGAAGGGAGCACCAGAGGAATGTCTATCTGTGTGTCATTGACTATGCAAAGGCGTTTGACTGTGTAGATCATAACAAACTGTGGCTGACTCTGAGAAGAATGGGAATACCAGAACACTTGATCGTGCTAATGCGAAACCTATACTTGGACCAGGAGGCAGTCATCAGAAGAGCAAGGAAACACTGCATGGTTCAAAATTGGGAAGGGCGTACGCCAGGGATGTGTCCTATCTCCATACATTTTCAACCTATATGCAGAACATATAGTGGTGTCACTCTGGAGACTAAGGTGTGCCTGATACAGGCCATGGTCTTTGCAATCAATTGCTATGCATCAGAGAGCTGGACAATGACTAGGGAGGATAGAAGGAGAATTGATACCATTGAGCTGTGGTGCTGGAAAAGAGTATTGAATATACCATGGACTGCTAAGAAAACGAACAGGTTCATCCTGAAGAGGGTTAAACCAGGCTGCTCGTTAGAAGCAAGGATTTTGAAGCTTTGTCTGACATACTTTGGACATGTTCAAGGAGGGACCAGTCCTTGGAGAGGGATGCCATGTTTGGGAGGGTGGAGAGACAGCCCAGGAGAGGAAGATCCTCTATGAGGTGGATTGATTTAGTGACTGGAGTAATAGGGGTGGGCGTATCGGAGACAGTGAGACTGATACAGGACAGAGCAGGGTTTAGGCTTGTTGTACAGAGGGTCGCTATGAGTCGCAGGCAACTCAAAGGCACATAGAAACAACAACAGTTGTTGTGTGCTGTTGAGATGAAACCAACCCATAGATGACCCTCCAGCAGATTTTCAGAGGCAGTAAATCACATAGAATGAGATTGCCCATCTTTCTCCTGATGAGCAGCTGGTGGATTAGAGCCTTGTGCCTTTTGGATTGCAGTGCAGCTTCTTACCACTAAGTCAGCAGAGGTCCTCAAAGTTTGAGTTTAGTATGGAGGGTTAATCATTTGTACCATCCAGAAACCCATTATATTACAATACATTTTTACACACCTAAATATATAACCATGTTTCCCAAAATGGAGAAGAACTTGAAGCACTTGCTGCAGAAGGCCAAGGACTAAAGTAGTATGGATTGAAGTTCGAAATCAAGAAAACAAGATTCTCACCACTAGGCCAATTGGCAGCACCCTGACTGAAGGAGAAGAAATTGAGATGGTTCACAATTTTAACTTGCTTGTTTCTACAATCAACACCGTTGGCACCAGCAGTCAGGAAATCAAAAGATGAAATTGCATTTAAAAAAATCTGTTGTCAGGGACCTCACCAGAGTGCTGAAGAGCAACAATATCAGTCCAGAGACTAAGGCACACCTGATCCAGGTCATGGTCTCTGCAATTACTGAATATGCATCAGAGAGCTGGATAATGACTAAGGATGATAGAAGAAGAATCAATGCCTTTGAGCTGTGGTGTTGGAAAAGAGTACTGTATATACCATGGGCTGCCAAGAGAACAAATAGGTCTTTTCTGGAGAGGACGAAACTAAGTTTCTCCTTAGAGGCAAGGATTTTGAAACTCCATCTCACATACTTTGGGCATATAGCCAACAGGGGCCATTTCTTGGAGAACAACATCATGTTTGGAAGGGTGGAGGAACAGCATAGGAGAGGAAGACCCCAGAAGAGATGGATTGATACAGTAACTGGGACAAAGGAAGCAGGTGTTTAAGAGACAGTGAGATTGGCTCAGGATAGGGCAAGTTTTAGAGCTGTTGTGTATAAGGTCACTACGAGTCACAGTCAACTCAACAGCACATAAAAACAACAGCGGTAGCAGTTTCACTGCAGCCTTGGGCCAAAAGCAATGAGCATGCCAGGCAGTGGCTAAGAAAGGGAGTTACAAGCTCAGTGCAACAGTCCACAGAGAGCAACAATGCCTGCAGAGCAGAACATCATCAAACCAACCAACAAAGGCGAATGGTCTTGACCTTCACACTTGAAAAATCACATCTCTGGAGGCTCCCAGCATTGAGTGTGGCATGCACTCTGCCCTCCTCTCACCTAATGGCATATATTTGTCTTAATTT